GTGGATCAAGCAGCGCAGTTCTACAACAACGGTCACGGGAAGCAATTGTGCGCGTCCCGGGATGTGATCGTGTGCAAGAATTCCGAGGGAGTCGAGGAGAGGATGTCCATCTTCTTGATAGGCAAGGATCTCGGCAATGTGGCATATTCGTCATGGATCAAGAGTGTGCTCGACCAAGGAACGATGTATGAACTCCTGGGACAAACCACGAACGAGGAATCCTTGGGAGACGTCGTCGAGATGGTGTTGGGATTCTTTGAGGTGATGTCGTACTTCCAGCACGAACTGCCACTGTGGAAGGATGCATGGAAGATCAAGAGGGAGTTCGAGCAGTCAATAGTGCGACACCTCGCTGGGAACGTGACCCACACGACGGGCCAGAACAGAAAGCGGAACAGACCGTCCGCACAGCTCGGCGTGCCCACGAAGGAGGTGCTTGACATCATGAACAAGGTCAAGCCCAGACATCCACGATCCCTGATCACCGAGCCCTCTGCACAAGGTTCCAAGAGAAAGGCCACGGAGGGCGAAGATGAGGGTCTTGGTCAAGCACCAGACCCGAGTCGAAGTTCTCAAACCAATACTGAGAAGGAAGACAAGAAGCAGCGTGTGATCGACGGGCGGAGAGCGGCACTAGGATTCCTGGAGTCAATGGAGAAGTGCATGGGAGATATGGGGATCTGTAAGAAGTGCGCGAACCTGGCCCACGACGGCGACTGCAAGGACATTGAGGAGGCTGCTGGAAATGAGAAGGCGATGAAGGTGCTCCGTGAGCTACTCAGCAGTGACCCTGTTTCATCTGATGAAGACATGGGGGATACGGAGGAACCGTCCTCATCAACGTCCAAGGAAAGAAAGAAAGGGGACAAGCAGGGAAAGAAACAATTGAGATGTACAGCTACACTATTAATTTGGTGGAGATGGCTGACACGGCTGAGGGAGGAGAGCTACAATGTGGTGGCGTCGACCTCACATACAACCCGTGCGGGGACAGCAGGACATTCAAGAAGACGCTTGAGATGGGATGCGACACCATCCCGTGCTACATCCCGAAGTACGGCGACATGATTGAAGTGCATATGCCACGGGCATACGCGTCTATTCCCAGGTACTTTCCCAGAGGTGCAATCCTTGAGCAAGTGGACGTGATGCAACTTGGCAAGAGTGTCAACTTTTGCATTGCTCCTTTCGACGGTGCTCCACTATGCAGGATTGGTGATGATCGCTCGGTATTTACTTCAAGGGACCAAGCAAACCAGCTATCTCACGACCTATGCAGAGTCCTTCGACACAAGATCGGCAATTGCCGAGGAAGTGCTTTCAGGTGCGACGAGGGTGGATGGGTCGACATTGATGCTGTCATTGACGACCGGAACAACGACATATTCCCACCATACACCACGAGAGCGAAACGATACATGGGCATCATGGAGGTGATCAAGTGGCAGGAATCCGGACACAAGAAATCGAGATTTCAGGTTCTGGCAGCAAGGTTTCCGAGCATCATGAACCCGAACGACACGAGGGCAGCCAGGGAGGAAATGACCAAGGCTGGCGTGGATCGGGACGACATCGACAGGATGTTCAACAGATGCGATGGATGGTACAGACCTTGGTGCATCCGAGTCACAACCGGTCACAGTGATTTTGGATTCATGAGCTCATCCGCACTGGCGAATAGGTATTCCGCAAGAATGGGTGATACTCTCGGAGGAGCATTCCATGTGACGTATGTGGAAAACCTGCCAAGCATCGTACGCTGTGGGATAGTCCCCGGCGGAATCGATGGCGGTAACAGGCTAGCACTGCACTTCGGGGCATTTGCTCCATGGGATGAGATGAACGTGGCGACGAAGACAACGCTACGGAACGTGAGGAGAGGGGATCCGATTGCGATCATCTATATTCCCAGTGCAACCCTCGCGCGGTATGGGGCTGGAGTCGCGGCTAATGGGACTTTCATGGTCTTTGACGTGATCCCGTTCTATGAGGTCAAGTCCATTTGGATTGGCAAAAGCAACGGAGGGAAGCGCCTGGAGTACGCTGACATCAAGAGGGCGTACTCGAAGTGTGTGGAGAACGAGATCTGCCCTGGCTTTGTCAACTCTTCCCAAGAGTCGGCTGCGATGTTCCTCCAGAACGTCGCAAAGATCAGCGAGAGGATGCCGGAGACTGAGACAGGTGCCGATAATCTGCACTACATCGTTGACATGGTTAATCGTGCTTGCGAACTCTATCGAAACAACAAGATGGAAGAGTTCAACGCACAGGTCAACGAGGTCCGGGACGAAGTCAGCAAAGTCGTCATCCTGAATGATGAGACATGGGAAGGACTGAGGTGCCGGATATGTCCATCATGTGCGACCGCGATCCCCACCTGCTTCTGCTTATGCCTGGAGTGCGAGGCACAACTGATCTCCATCGGAAGATACTGCATTCACATCAATTCCGATGACGAGGAGGACAACCAAAACCCCAACGTCTCTGGAGATGCCAGGCGTGCACAGGAAGAAGCTAACCACGATGCGGCAGCACAGGAGGATGAGGACGAAGCGGAGGAAGTTCCGGGAGAAGATGACGACATGGACACGCAAGGATATACATCCGGCTATGCGTCAGAAGAAGAAGACGGCGGTTGGCATTACCGCGACACCGATCTGACGTCACGGGACATTATAAGTTCCCAACGGATGGCGATCTGCCTTGACGAACCGCGTGAGGCTCAGTACATGGCAGGATTTATCGCACTCCAGCTGTCCAAGATGTGGGGGATGTTTGAAGGTGGTGAGGAGAGAACGATGAATGCCGGACTCGAAGGGAATCCGGGCTGCCCTTATCACAATGATTTCAGGAGGTACCCCAACATCACTGAGCATGATCAGGAAGGTATACTTTTGCCATCAACAATAACGAAGATTTCTCAATCGGAGAATGTTCGGACAAGAGCCTTCCGATCGGTTGAGGAGCGTGACGAATATATTCGTATGATGGTGAACAAATGCGAGGGACTATACACATTCTACAAGCTGTGGATTGCAGCAAGAATCCTCGATGTCACCAAGGAAGAAATGAAGCTCCTGGTCAAGGACCGAGTGCACCCGGTGGGTGATATTATTTTCAGATGTTTTGCACTAGCTTTCAACTGTAAGTATATATCATTCGTGAGGGATGGCCTAAACCTTGGCAAGCATGGTTACGCGGTCAACGTGAGCGCCATCATCTCGGCCATCGACCCGAACAAATGCGACACACCCCTGCTGGATTGGTGCCTTCGGAAAGGGCACTGGTTGCCAGAGGACTACAACAAGAAGTGTGTCCGGGCACGAGAAGCCCAGAAGAACTTGGACGAGGAGTTCCGCCGACGTACCCATAGGCTGTCCATTGGGGACAGGTATGCTTCGTGAAGATGCTGATTGCGGTACGATGTGGGTCAGTCCCCATCTGTTACTTGCGTCACATCGACACTGTTTCGGTGGAACGACTTATGTCATGATTTATATTCATGTGTCCAAGATGATTGGGTGTGTACATGGTTACATATTCCGATGACTATGACGCTCTGGATATTCATGGATGGAACTATTACCTTATAGATGATATCTTTTCATTATTTATGCATTGTCCATGGTATCTGGAATGGCTATGATTTGCATTGATTACTCACCGATGTTTCTTTGCCGGAGATATGCAGACCGATCACAAGCGGGCGCGCATGGTGGACTTTTGTGGCCAACCCATTTATGGATGACAGCTGCGCGATGCGCAAATGCGGCAGCTGGAATGTTCACTGGCGGTCAAGTGAAGTGGCCACAGTGTATTATATACACCTGCATATGGATGTGTGCTTCGATTGGAGGATGAATGTTTCACTTTTCGTACAATCGAACCCGGCATGTTTCACAGCGAATGAACGGTGTAGTGATAGCAAGTAAAAGAATGCACGACACGATTTCGTAGTTGAAGCCGTGGCCAGTGGAACGTTTTGTGGTGTTTGGACCGCATGATGAACAATGCGACCCAAATGGGGGATGTTAAAACCCTCTAGGCCCCGTGCCGAAATTGGGTAGCTGTTCTGAGGTCCTTGTTGGTGTTGCTTCCCAAGTTCCATTGATCGCCATTTGGCTCAAGACACAATTGAGGTTCAAGATCTGATGTGTGACTGCGCACATACGTGACGGGCATTAAGAGCAAAACAACTGCTTGCGCCGCTTTGTCAGGACCACTGGTGTGATTATCATTCCTTCTTCCTTACAACGTTTACACGGGTTCGGCTATAACGGCATCGTCCGTATACACCTTTCTACGTGGTTGGTATTAAAGCTTGAGGGTTCGGTGCACAGCGTCCCACGGGACGTCACCTTGCCGTCTCTTGACAAAAGGGAAGAAGAGAAGCCTGCAGAGCCCACCCTTGTTAAAAGGGAAGAGGGGCAGCCAGCTGCATCCAGCACCTTTCTTGAAAGGGAAGAAGAAAAGCCTGCAGAGCCCACCCTTGATAAAGAAGGGGAACAGCCAGCACCATCCACCCTTGTCAAAAGGGAAGAAGAAAAGCCTGCAGAGCCTAGCCCCCTTGATAAAAGGGAAGAAACAAAAGAGCAGCAAGCTCAAGACAAGGAGCCAACAAGTGAGGCTCTTGGCAAGGCCCCTTCAAAGAACAAGCAGGCAAAGGACCAACAGCAAGAGGCCCTGGTCCTTGGCCCCAGCCCTGCCCAAAAAAGCAAAGAGCTTGTTGCAGATGAGTCCCCTTTGGAGGACTCTGTTGACTGGGGCACCTCCTCCTCAGAAACAGAAAGCTCCAGCACCCCTGCAGCCAAGCCCCAGGCAAGCAAAGCCACCCTTTGTAAAAGGGTAAGTGTGTTCAGCCCTGAGAGGCAAGCCCAGCCTACCCTTGAAAAAAGGGCAAGAACAAACACGGCCACAACCCCTGCAACAAAGAGAAAAGCCCTCCTTGATGAAAGGAGGGAACCCCCAATGTGGCGGCTGAAAAACGCCCCCAAAGCCAGTGTGGCAGTGGACTGGCACAATGTCATTTGCTGCAATGATGCGGTGCCCTCCAGCTCCATCAATGCCTTGGAGAAGCTGGACCTTGCTGGGTATACAGTCCACATGGTGTCCTACTGTGGCCCTGCAAGGGAACAGCAAGTGAGAAAAAAGCTTGCTGAATTGAAATTCCGCTTTGCCAGTGTTACCTTTACAAGGAGCCGGGACAAGTCAGGGGGCAAGGGTGAATGGTGCCAGCAGCACAGGGTCGAGGTCATCTTTGATGACTCCATGGAGGTGCTGAATGACTGCTGGGCCAGGGGGCTCTGGGTGTATTGCATCCAAACAAACTACAACAGAAAAAGGTGGAAGTATGATTCCTACCCCACTTTGATGGATGCTGTGGAAAACTTCCTGGAGACAAGCTCCTAAAACAAAGGGCTGGCACCACTTCCCTTGATAAAAGGGATGCCTTCCATTACCCTTGTTAAAAGGGAATTGCAAATGGCCCCAACGCAAGCTGCCCTTGATAAAAGGGAGAGTGGTGGAACCTACACCCCCTTGATAAAAGGGAAGCCAGCTGAGCCCTCCCCCCCTTGATGAAAGGGTGAAGTTTGGCCAAAATGGCTTTTGCAGCTGCAGGCTTTGGGCTGTGGCAAAAGTGCATGTGCTCAGGGAATGGGCAGGGTCAAACAGTTTCAATTTTGCAACTGATCCCTTTTCTCAAGGGTGCAAGGGTGCTTTTTTCTAGGGAATGGGCAGGGCTTCTGGTCAAACAGTTTCAATTGTGCAACTGGTCCCTTTTCTCAAGGGTGCAAGGGTGCTTTTCTCCAGGGGTCCCTTTGGGGCTTGGGTTGGGGGAACCTTTTTTTTTTTCTGAAGGGTGTCAATACCATTTTTGGGTTGGGGTTGAATTGGGAAGCCCTTCTCTCAAGTGATTCTTTGGGATTGGGAGTGGGGGGTATGACACATGTCTCCATTGCCAAGGTGCCCTTTTACCAAGGGCAGCATTGCAACTTGCTGTAGTTGTAGAAAAGGCAAATGCCCTTGATGAAACTTGTTTTTACTGGTGTATGTGGCTAGCCCTTTGCAAACAACACAGTCACCAGCATGGAATCTCATGTCATTGTGGCAGTTTCCAAATCCAATGTATGAAGGAAACCAAATCCACAACTTTGATCAATGTTGGTCAATTTTGGTCAAATTTGATCAATTTTGGTCAGTTTTGGTCAAAACCATGGTTTTGATCAAATTTGATCAAATTTGACCAACATTGACCAAAATTGATCAAAATTGATCAAAATTGATCAAATGTGGCCAGGCTTGGAAACCCCACACACGTGGAACATTGTTTGTGCACCGCAGCTTTCCTACCTGTCAAGCTTGCAGCATTTTTGCCCCTTGTTGAAAGGGGAAAAGAAATGGCACCAAAGGCAAAGTCCAAAACATCAAAGGGCTCTCCCTTGAAAAAAAGGGATCATCAAGCAACCCTTGCTAAAAGGGACTGGCCAAGGAAGTGCAACAAAGGCCATGAAGGCCATGAAGGCTGTGAGTACTATGAAATTGCAGCTGAAAAAAAACACTTGGCCAAACTTGGCAAGATGACCTTGGCAGAGAAGATTAAGAAAGCAGGGGAAGAGGCTGACACCCCTGAAGAGGCAGCTACTGAGTTGAGAAAAATGCTTGGTAAGCAAGAACACACCAGGGTTTGGTCCAAGTACCAAACAGCCTTGAAAGGCAAGCCCAAAGAAGAACAAGACGATTTCCAGAACAAGAGCAAGCATGAGAAGGGATTCGAAGCAGCACTGGCCCTTGTGAAGACTGAGGTCCCCAAGTTCTTCCACTACAATGAGTCCATGGAACACGCCACCTCCCTTGCTAAAAGGGAAAAATGGGTATCAGAGAAAAAGATGCTGGAACTTCATGGGGAAGATGATTTCTGGGCCCACATGGAGTCAGGAAGGATTATTTACAGAGCAGACCCACTCACACCAAATGTGTGGAATTACCAAGACACAGGCGACTTTGAAAAAAAAACCCATGTGAAAAAGGCTCAGCACTGGTCATTAGGCCAGGAGTATGAACCGACTGCAGAAGACCAGCAAGAATGGCAAAGTTTCCTGAAAAAGGACAACTATAGCCATTTGAGGGCTTTTGGCAAGGGATCTTCCTTGATAAAAGGAAAAGGGAAAGGCAAAGGAAAGACAAAAGGAAAGACACCAAAAAAACCAAGAGGTTTGTTGGCCTTGGAGGATGGCACAGAAGATGATCTAGAAGAGACAACTGAAGAAGAACAGTGGAAGGAGCTCTTGGTAAAAGCAAAGAGGGCAAGAGACCAAGCTGGGCAGGCCAAAGATGATTGTGAGGCTGCCCTCACTAAAGCTGACCTTGCTAAAAGGTTAACCAAAGCAGCCAAGAGAGACACTACAAGCAAGTTGGAAATTCTGGCCAAAAAGGTAAAGGTTGTCAAAGACATCTTGGCCAAGCAAGATCAGTCAATGCCCTTGCAAAAAGCAAAACAGGTGCTTGTGGATACCATGACAGCAGTCAAGGCAGCCAAAGAAGAGTCCAAAGAACTCAACCAGGTTGCAAACAAAGCTGGAAGCAAAGCCAGCAAGGGCTCCAAGAAGTGAACTTAGGAAACACCCTTGCTAAAAGGGTACCTTTGCTACAATGCTAGCCCAAATGCCCTTGGTGAAAGGGAACCTGTTTAGATAGGGATGGCAATTGTCTATCCCACCCCCCTTGCTAAAAGGGTTTGGCAGCAGCTGGCACCGACAGGCAAAAAGAGTTTTCCACCAAGTGCTCTGAAGGGATGGGGTGGGGGGGGGGAAGGTTCCAAACACAAAGAAATAGTATAGTCTGTTCTGGGGCTTGCTTGTTGAACCAACCCCCAAAGGCTTTGGGGTGTAAAAGGTCAGCATGTTTTTTTAGGGGTTGCTTTGAGTGCCAAGGGCTAGCATGCATCATGCTTGAAACGCAGGCCCTTTGGCTCCAGGGTAACTTATAATATTTGATGGCCTTGATAAAAGGCAGCCCCCTTGATAAAAGGGGAATTTGCCATGGAGAGGCCTCCCAAAAGGCTGAAAGGCTGGAAGTTAGACCAGTCAAGAAAACATCCTTGTGAAAAGGATGAAAAGCTTGAGCCAAACAAGTCCAGCCCTTTGTGCACAAGGCTGCTTGAACTTTGGTCCCTGGGAAGAATATCAGCAGTCCAGGCTGCAGAGATAGCACACTTGGCCATTTTGGAAGGAAGCTCCTCTGCTGAAACCATGGCCTTGGCCAAATGTGGTAACTTTGGCCAAAACCCTGGCAGTGCCCACAGGGACTTGGTCAGCCACTTTTGCAAAAACATCAAAGTATGTGACCCAATGCCAGTCACTGTTGATGTCCTTGACCCCAACACCAGGAAGCACACCACGGAAGAAGCCTCCCTGTTTCTTCCCCACATTCTTTTCAGCAACATTGCTGAGCACTACACAGAGGTTTTCTTGGACCTGTTCTGCTTCAATGAAGCAGAATCTTTTTGGCAATGTGCTGAGAGGTCCAAGGACCCCAGGCTTGCCCCACCAATCACCCTTGGTAAAAGGGTCAGGGATCCTTCCCACACATGCCCTATCTTTGTTCATGGTGATGGTGTGGAATACCAAAACCGAGACAGCCTGATGACATGGTCATGGGGCCCTTTGCTCAGCCAAAAGGAGAGCTTAGCAGCCCACCTGCTCCTGGTTGCCTTTCCAAAGAACTGCTCTGTGCCCACAACTTGGGGGCCTCTTCATGACTGGATTGCCTGGAGCTTTGCAGCCTTGATAAAAGGCACGCACCCTTCCCAAGATCCATATGGGAATGGCCTGCCACCTTCACTGGCAGAGCTGGCTGGCCTGCCCTTGACACCAGGCAACCACAGAGCTTGCATCTACAGCATACAGGGTGACCAAGAATTCTTCTCAAACATCTTGAAGATGCCACACTGGCAAAACAAATTCCCCTGTGCAGAATGCGATGCCCAAAAGCCTGCATTCAAGGGCATTAAGTGTCCTGATGGGAAGAGTGTCAAGCTTCTCAGGCAAGCTGATCAAAAGTTTGTATATGTCTCCCCTGAGCAAGCCCTCCTTGTTAAAAGGAGTGCCCATCCACTTTTTCAGGTGCCAGGCATCAGCGCAGCCATGGTGCGAGGAGACTCCCTCCACATCCTGTACTCCAGAGGAGTTGCTTCACACCTTGCAGGCTCTTTGATCCATTACTTGTGCTACTTTGATGGTGTGAAAGCCAGGCAGGCAGTGCCACCCAGCCAAAGGCTCCAAAAGCTGTTTGGCAGAATTAAGGAGCTCTATGTCCAAAATCAGGTCTCCTCCAGGTTGACCAACCTTCGCCTCTCCATGACTTGCCCTGATGCTGCCAAGCCTCACAAAAGCTTTGCGTGCCTTGAGGCAAAGGCTGCTGAGACTAAGCACCTGCTGCCCTGTCTGTTGCAGGTGTTGCGAGAAGCTCTGCCAGAAGATGACCCCATTCATCAAGCCATGCTGGCCTGCCTAGAAGCATTGATTCAGATTGCTGATCTGTATGATGCAATTGGGCTTTTTCCTACTTCTGAGGAGTTCTTGCAAGCCGCCAACCTTGCCAAAAGGTTCTTCAGCAACTACCATGATCTGAACCAGTGGGCCTTGCTAAAAGGCAGAAAGCTCTTTCACATCACTCACAAATTCCATTCCTTTCATCATCTCATCCTGAATTCAAAATATTTGAATTATAGAATCCATTCCAATTACAGAGCAGAGCACTTTGTGGGCAGAATGAGTGTGTTGACACATTCCACTGCCTTTGGGGTAAAATCCTCCAAGCTCAGCTCCAAGCTTGCAGTGAAATATAAATTTCTTCTTCACCTGCAACTCAGCAGGCCAGGTTTTGGCCAAGAGGGACAAGCCAGCTGACTATTGACTGCACAAGCTTCTGCTATAGAGGGTGCCCTTGCTAAAAGGGTGGCAGGCTGCTCTCCTTGTCCTGCTGCTGCAGGAAATGCCCTTGCTAAAAGGGTGGCAGGCCCCCATCCCTTTCCTGCTGCTACAGGAATGCCCTTGCTGAAAGGGTGACAAGAAAGCACCTTCTCCTGCTTCTGTAGGCATGCCCTTGCTGAAAGGGGGACAAGCTCCTACACTGCCATTGTGGAAAAAAGGGGTGTGCCGCACTGCAAACCTTATTGATATTTGCTTTTGATTTACCATGTAAAAATGAGGACACGTTTAATTGATTTGTTTCGCAATCTTGCTTTTGATTTTGGTCGCCTAGAACCACATGTTTCTTATTGAAAAAAGGGCATATCAATAGAACAAGAAACCTATTGATTTAAATCAATAGCCGATGCCCAGGGAAAGAAGGTTCTTTCCTGGTGCAGAGCCCGATGTGCCGCTTCGGCATGAAGATGAGGGACGATCATGGTGAGGAGTTGCATGTGAGAAAGGAGACGCTGTGGCTGACCAACAGCGAATGCATTGCGGAGGAGCTGAGGGGTGTGTGTGAAAACGTGCTACAAGGGCGAGAAGTCCATCGGCATGTTCACCTCATCGGCAAGGATCGTGCGAAGGCAGCCCAAGTCTACCCGGTGGAGCTGGTGGAGGCCATCCTGAGAGGCCTGCGGAGTGAGATGAGGAAACGAGGACAGATCAATAGCGTGGAGGAGATGCTGACGGGAGCCTCGCCGGACGATTGGGTGGACCAGGAGAGGGAGAACCAAGAGGTGGACGAGCTGTTCATGGACGACTCGTCGGGGACGGTTCTGCCAGCCGAGCTTGTGAGAAAGGCGAGAGCTGAGGAGTTGGACTGGCTCCGAAAGGAGGCGGTCTACGAAAGAGTTCCGAGGAAGCTCTGCGAGCAGAGCGAGCAGAGGAAGCCACTTCAACTGAAGTGGTTAGATGTGAATAAAGGAGATGAGGAGAATCCGAAGGTGAGGAGTCGGCTGGTGACGAAGGAGATCAAGAAGGCGAAGAGGCCAGATCAACAACTAGGCGCGGAAGACACCTTCGCCGCAACGCCGCCTGTAGAATGCGTCATGATGATCTTGAGCCTGTTCATGTCGCAGAAGGGCATCAAGAAGAAGAGGAAGCTGGCGGTGTGGGACATCTCCCGGGCGCACTTCATGGGCAAGGCAGAACGGGAACTGTTTGTGGAGCTCCCGCAGGAAGACTTAGTGCACCCGGAGGATGAGGAGGCGATGGTGGGGAGACTCCTGCGGAGCATGTATGGCACGCAGGACGCGAGCAAGATCTTCCAGATGGACTACCAAGGTCTCATGGAGAAGGAGAAGGGCGAGTTCAGCAAGCTGTGCCCTGCGCTGTTCAAGTTTCAGGAGCGAGGCATCATCGGGCTGGTGCACGGAGACGATTTTCTGGTACTAGCGGAGGACGACCAGCTGACCTGGATGGATGGCGTCCTCAACAGCAAGTACAAGGCCCGGTGGGAGGCGACAGTCGGAGACGGGGAGCTGGACGGCAAGGAGATGTTCTTTCTCAATCGGCTCATCAGGTACGTGGCAGATGGAACGGATGGAAAACGCTTGGAGGTGGAAGCGGATGCGCGGCACGCGGAGATCCTGATGAGGTCGTTTGGGTTCGACTCCAAGACCAAGGGCAGCGACATCCCGGAGGATAAGATTCGGGATCAGGACATCATTGTCGAAGAGCGCTCCGAGACGTTGGACGAGGCCCAGACCGGTGAGTTCAGGTCTATGACTATGAGGCTGGCTTATCTGAGCCAGGACAGGCCGGATGTGATTCACGCCTCGAGGACGTTGGCGTCGGCCATGAAGAGCCCGAAGATGGGTGATTGGCTTCGGCTCAAGAAGGTGGTGCGGTACCTGCTGAAGTACCCGTATATGAAGAGGACCTTCTTGGAGCAGAGGCCTGAGGAGGTGGACGTGCTGGCCTGGTCCGATTCGGATTGGGCCGGAGACCTGAGGACGAGGAGGAGTACCACGGGATCGGTGGTGAAGATTGGGCATCACACGGTGCTGATCAGAGCCGCGGGACAGAAGGTGGTGGCGCTGAGCTCTGCCGAGAGTGAGTTCTACGGCATGTGCAGGACAACAACGCACGCGGAGTTCATCCGCGGGGTCATCAACTTCTGGGGCTACGCGGTGACGAGAGTCATGCTGAAGGTGGACAGCACGGCGGCTCGGGCAATGAGCCTTCGGAAGGGTGTGGGCAAGACGCGCCACATCCAGGCGAGGTTTCTTTGGCTGCAGGACAAGGTCTTCGCCAAGGAGGTCGCGGTGGTGAAGGTTGATGGGAAGGAGAATGAGGCGGACCTGGTGACGAAGGTCCAGCCGGCCACGATGATCAAGGGGCACCTTGGTCGGATGTGTTTTGAGCTTTGTGGCCGAAAAGGCCATAAGGCATTGCAGCGGTAGCTCCTCAAAGGGGCTACCGACCTTTTCGTCGCTCAGGGGGTGCAGACATGTTGCACTTTGACTGAAGCCATCTGACCCAAGAGGAAAGGGAAGAAATAGGGCCGCGCTGCATTTAGTGGTTGGTTTTTTGGTGGCAGGGGATCTGAAACTGACAGCCCTGAAACTGGGCTTCACTGGTTACTTGTCGAGCCGGGTTTTTTGACGCCCCAACCAGCCCGTTTTTGTGCTCACAAGCCAAAAGACGTCAAACAACAACTGCTTCGTGCGCTTTTTTCTCAAAACGAAGGGGTCAACAGGTGGTTTTCGGGTCCCCAGGGTTGCGCAGTCAAGCCACTCGTCCAAGGACGCAGCTCTTTGGTGTTGTTCGACACGCAGAGCGCGCGGACGGGGTCTTTGCAATCTGGGAGGGTACGCGATGGTGCAGCTCTGACGATGGGCGGAGGCGCGGGGAGGGTGGAAGAAGTAGCATACCATCGGAGATACACCAAAAACGCAAATCAGGGTGCAAGAGGTGATTGTGATGCAGCAGCAGCAGCAGCAGCAGCAGCAGCAGCAGCAGCAGCAGCAGCAGCAGCAGCAGATGATGATGATGACGATGATGATGATGATGATGATGATGATGATGATGATGATGATGATGATGGTGACGGTTTGCTCCCTTGTTCGAACAGACAGCTGACCTCAAACTGGTGCAACCTCAGTGGCGGTTGCCTGTAACATTCACAGGTTCGTCCCCTTCCGCTGCATGTTCCGTTGGCAGATGGGATAGGACCTTGGCGCTGTGGAAATGCCTATTTAACGGAGTTCCCCTTACTCTGATCCATTGCTTCGAGAGGTGATGTCTGTGGGGAGTCCGTTGTTGGAAAGACGATTTTGGAGGTTGGGCTAACCATCACTGGTAGGTTGGGCAAAGTCCAAGCTTTTTCAGCACTGATCAGACCAAAACATGTGTCGAGCCAGGCCTTGAGGGTTTCCTTTCGGCTAGAGGTGACCCAATCTTCTTCCCTTCAAAGTGACGTGCACTCTCAACATTCCGAAATGCTTCGGATGGGCAACATCCGCTTGGCACCAGTTGATTCATCAGCAGTTAATAAGGTGTTTATTCATTTGGCACGAAGCGGTTTTTTGTCCATAGCCAGCTTCTTCCGCCCCGCTCCTGTTGGTTTTCCGAAAGAACATTTCGCCATGCAGGAATGTCATGCCAGTCAAAAGCCAAGTTCCGTTGACTTACTAAAGTGCTCCAATTTCCCATGGCTCCATCTTGAGAAGCAGTTTTCCACTTTGGTATGTCTCAGACATGCAAAACCTCCAAAATGGTTGTTGTGCTTTGGTTGCCCAGAACAACAACCCAAAGACACGGCGTTGAAGCAGAGTCTCAGCTTCCCATGGTAGCCGCCTCCGTCCCAACCTTGCACACAACTTGCTGGTTCTTGGGGAATTTCGAGGGTTTGGAATTGGGATCTAGGAAACAAGTTGGAGGTTCAGTTTGAGGTGTTCCAAATCATTCTCTACCAGAACCAGGATAATAATGCGGCAACCCTCAGCCCCGCACTCGTAGGAAGGTTGGTTTCATTGTTCCTTGCAAAATCATCCCATCCGGGATCCCATCCCCTTGCAAGCCACCCCCGGACACTTTCCCGAGCCTGGAACGCATGTCACTCGAAACCGCAGGAGTAAGCTAGGAACCAACCAAATACCCAACCACCCAACCAACCGAAAGCGTGACTCCCATTTCTGGTCCGACGATTCCCATCTCTCAGGTTTCCGCTGGACCCACCACTGAGTGATGCCGGCCTTGATCAGGCCGGTTCGCGAGGTCATTTGGCAGACCTGTGGCAACGCGTGGTTTGCGTCAAAATCGGGAACCAGACTCTGTTCATCTAGCTGTCAAAAATAAACTCTTTCGGGGCTGTCAAAAAAGAAGAAGCTCTTTTGTGGATGGTTGAACAGGGATCGCAAAAGCAAATCGAGATCGACCTGTGCCGAGATCTGAGAAGTCGGATCAACATGGCAACATGGCAACGACGATTGGCTGCGGTACTTGATTTCACCAAGATGAGCTCCCATTGTTGAAAAAGTGGAGAGGCCACGTATCTTTCTAAGAAGGGGCTGCATGACCGCAAAGGGGTTGCCCGAAAGGCAGCACATTGACAGGTCAATGATGTATGACTTCTTTTACTAGCGTGTTCACTAGCGTGCAGTCAGCTTTTGTGTGCGCGTGTATGGCAAGCGTTGACCAGATTGCTACCCGTAGCCTGGTTTCTGATTTTTCAGCTCTGTAATGGTTTCTTGGGAGCCGCGATCGGCGGCACCGTAGCACTTTGGGCGCCCTTTTGTTCTGTTCGATGTCCAGAGAAACTTTGCATTTTGCCAAGGGATGTTAGGACTGAATAGCTTTTAGCCAACTAATCATGGTTGTCGTTGGGAAACAATTTACACACTCACGCGCTGCAACGTGCGCACGGCCGGGCGGCAGTGCGGCACGTCCAATCTGTCAGGTGGCGTTGTGCCACATCGAGCGCAGGCCCCCTTGTGGGGCCTTATCGAAAAGGCCTGGCCAAGTCATTGGCCGAGCGAATCGGCCGGCCAGTGCAGAAGGTGCGGATTGCACTTGCCACATCGACAAGAACGCGATGTGGGAGGTCTATTGTTAGACCATTTTGAGGAGGCCCAACTCCAAGCAACGAAAGGTTGAGGCCTCGAATCTCACCTAAGTTCAAGGAGAACAGGGAAGCGAAACCGCGAAAAAGGAGCCTAATCAGATGCACATCCGAGCCAAGGGTACCTTGAACTGAGGTGGATTCATGCTGGTCCCTCCAAATGGCACCATCGCGGTGAGGTGCCGGGGCCGGAAATTGGATACATGCAAGCCTGAGTGCGACAGCGACCTCAAGCCATGAAACGAATACCGGGCTAGCACAGGTGGAGGCTTTCTGATGAAGCCATTGAAAAACCTGGCGAGGAAAACGTGGCCCGAACTGAAACTCAAGCTTTGAACCATCGAGTTCAGATGGCCATTCCTGACTGAGTGAGACGAGCCAGCTGGCCTGTCCCTCACTGTGCTGATAGGTCGCGACCTCTTCATCATCAGGGATATCATCAGGAGCGTGCCGAAGCTGTTTGGCCTTCTCCTTGCTCTCATTGCTTTGTGCAACAGCAAGGTGAAGGGCTTGGAAAAGGCGAAGGTGGTGGAGTTGTGCTTGTTCGGCACGCTGGTATTCCTTCCAGAGTCTCAAGAAGGAGGGCTCCCGCTGCTGATTTGCGAGCTTGGCTGCTCCGTCAGCAGCCCCGTTCCACCTGATGGTCCATTCATCAGCTGGGTCTTCGCATTCATCAGGGCGTCCATGACCGGGGAGGTGAAGCACCCGAAATTGACCAGGTTGAAGGCGTTCAAGATGTAGCCGGAGTTCCTGCCAGAGATCGCTGTTGCTTGTATCAGGGGCGTCAAACTCGTCAGCTTGAAGTCTCCAAACACCAGAGGCGGCATATGCAGAATCAGTCCACAAGGTTGTAGCACATCCGCATTGATGTGTCCATCTTGCAGCGTACAGAATGGCTGTAAGTTCAGCCCGGTTGATACATTGTGCTTTGCCGGCAAGTGGTCCTGCTGCGATTTGGCATGTATGCGTTGCAGAGATGACTGCCCAGGATGCCAAGGCCAATGGCCGGTACGTAGGAGATGTGCAGGAGCCGTCAGTGAACAGGTGCACGGTCTGACCAGGTTGGGCGTAGGTCTCAAAGACAATCTGCTTGTACTTGAGGCTGTCGAGATAGTCCCTGACTTCACAAAGCAGCGGATTGCTAGGGAGAAGGAGTCGTTCACGTAGGCATACAGGTGAATCATGCCAAAGACGACGCGCTTGATCGTGCTGGGCGTGACATTCAGCATGTGCTGGACACTCAAGGCAACGATGTTCGACGGTATCTAGGGCAGAGCAATGATTACACCGGCTGGCAGTGAAGTTGTCGAACTTGGCCTTCTGGGAGTTGAGGTAGAAGGCTCCTTCTCGAAGGGTGTTAACCCTGGCAGTTTCAAGGGCGTCTAGTCGGGCACTGCAGTGAAGACTGGCTATCCAGTTGATTCCTTGTAGGCCCTGGTAGTCTGCCCGCTGAACAAGGTCCCGAGAGGTGGATTGTAACCAGGCGTCTTCAAGAAGTAGTCGGAGGAGGCCAATGTCAATGGTCATGATGTTGTGGTGATGCCCTTCATGATCGACAAGTGTAGGTGGGGATGCAATCTTCCACGTGATGGCGTTGAGCTGTCGTAGTAACACCGTAAATGGCCCAGCAAAAGCACGGCCATCGTAAGAGGCAGTAAATTCGGCCCAGGTGTCAATCAGGGACGCCTGCTTGTGGAGGATGCGCCTGAAGGTGCGTACGACCTGCCAGAGCTGGAAGAATCCGGGGTCACACAGGATGTTTCCTGAAAGAAGACTGAGCCGGATTCGGGGACTAGCCCCTGCCCGTCCTGCGCCAGTGGCACGGACTGCAGCAGTGCGTAGGCTTTTGATGTTGGCAGTGGAGAAGTCCTCAATGGGCGCACTGTGAAAAACACGTGGCCACAGGGCTTGGTAGAGGACAAGGTGCTTGTTGAAGGTTGGAACGTTGAGCTTCTTGAGCAGGGTCCAGGTTGGTTGGAGTCCAGCAAGGATGTCCGGGTGATGGGCTGTTCTCCTACGGGCACCATAGGTCATTTGACCGCCGAGATCCTTATCCTTGAGGCTCATGCGGCGCCCCATAAGCTGAAGTTGCTGCCGATGTTGAGGATGGACCGCCCAGAGGTAGGTTTTGTCGAGGTCGATCCGTAGCTGGAACATCTCGAGGAAGGCGTCCTGAGTGACAACTGCGTGTAGTAGTGCTCCTGGGTGATTTGCGACAATTTCAAGATTGTCCACAAAAGATGCCGAGGTGGCCCGTGGCGAAAAGTGTGATTGGTACAGATGGTAGCACCAGTCCACAAGAGCCATGGCCAGGCAGCTGAGTGGACATCCTTCGGGGTAGCCACAGTTGGAGAAGAGCGGGCCACCCACCGTGTCATGGACGCAAAATCTTCGGGAGAATCCAACGAGGAATCGATGCCAGGCCTCAACAAAGTTGGAGGGGAAGCCAACGTGTTTGGCGATCTGCTTGATGGGCACTCGCGGCAAGTGGTTGAATGCCTTCTCGACGTCCGCAACGCATCCAACCAAAGATCGGTTCTGTTGAGCATGAAGCTCAATGTGGGCTTGTAGAGGAAGCCAGATCTCCTGAGCCTCACGAGAAGGCAAGAAGCCGAAGGCTGGACAATCCATAAGCTGTGAAAGCCGGGAGAGTCCTTGTCTAGCTCTGAGGGATGCCCAGTTGCGATAGTTCATGCTGAGCACAATGATCGGCCTGAACTGAGCGACCTCTTCGGCCCCGTCGCATTTGGCGATGCCATGGGCGAAGCCGGTGAGCAGCTGTTGTGGCCATTGTCCACCGTTTTCAATGCAGCGAAAGAGGTCAACTTGGGCTTGGCGGAGTGGATCGGGCATGTTGACAAGGTCGTTGCGTCCATAGCCATCAGCGCCTCTTGCCGTGTGTTTCTTGAATCTTCGCAGTGATTGATCCCAAGAAGAGAGGTCGAGGTCAGGAAGCTTGATCAAACTGCGTGGTACAAAGGCTTGTACAAAGCCAAGGATACGCTGCCAGGCTTCTGGAGGGAGGTCCTTGTGCTTGCTCCATCTGTCGGTCCAGAAGTGGCTGAGGGCTTCGTGGATTCGAGCATCCTCAGTGATGTGGATGTGCTGATGTAGCTGTTGTCCAGGAACCAGGAGGAGATCCGAGTCAACCTGGAAGGTGTCCGGGGTGATGTGGGTGATTTGTGCCGGGACGTTGTCAACCCACCATGAGTCGTGCTTGGCGGCCGACAAGGGCTGGTCAGTGAGCACCTGGGTGCCATCCGAGGAGACCGCAATGATGGTAGCAGTCTTCTTTTCGACAAGGCGATCGATGGGTTCTCTTCTGGCCGGCTTGAGGGTCTTGAAGATGCGTGCATGGTGCTCCTGCATTCTAGCCCGGTTGCATTTCGCCTGCTGGCGCAGATTCCAGCTCTCGAAGGAACGGAAGTTGTGCTGGTAGTCAGTGTAGATTCGTTGAAGAGTTTCAAGGTCAGGAGCATGTGCTGGTAAGCAATGAGGGCTGCCTTGGAGCTGGTGTCTTCGTGTCTGCCACCATTCAGAGAAGGATGATTGAAATCCCCGTGCAACAAGAACAGCTCGCCAAACTTCAGCACGGTAGAGTTGGTGAGAAGCCTCTTGACCGCCAGCTTTGACAGAGTGTAGTAAGCTCTGAAGTCGACGGAGTTGGCGGAACCACTGCAAAACAGCACGGCCGACCTGGTCGGAGCAGAGGTGGACTTCGCCTTGCCGACTGGGTCGAGATAGTGGTGGTTGCGGTAGCCGCCGTCTGGGTCGAAGCCTTTGTCCTCTTCCCCAACAAGCTGGGAAGTGGGGTGCGCGATGTAGCGAGAAGGTGCTGATGGAGGCCTTCCTCGTAAAGTTGGCCAAGTTGTGCGTAGTGATGCGTGAGGTTGGTGGTTGGTTGAAGAAGTTGAGGCTCAGGCTGGAGGTCGGAGTGCCAGGTGTCGATCTGGACATCATCCCATGGAATCTGAGCTGGGAGAGGCCAAGCCCAGTAGGAAGCGCCACCATCGGGAAGTCGAAACGTGGCGGAGAGGGCTCCATGGTCGGAGAACCAGGTTGTAAAGCTGGATTGGACAAAGTAGGCCGCGAGCTCAGGAGAGATGTAGATGCGGTCGGGTCGAGAGATTCCTCTGTACGTGT